CACCATGCCCAGCTAATTTTTTGTATTTTTAGTAGAGACGGGGTTTCGCCATGTTGACCAGGATGGTCTCGATCTCTTGACCTCGTGATCCACCCGCCTCGGCCTCCCAAAGTGCTGGGATTACAGGCTTGAGCCACCGCGCCCGGCCAGAGCAGAGTTTTTAACTTTTTTTTTTTTTTTTTTTTGAGATGGCGTCTCGCTCTGTTGCCTAGGCTGGAGTGCAGTAGCGCAATCACGGCTCATTATAGCCTCAACTTTCCTGGCTCAAACAGTCCTCCCCCATCAGCCTCCCAAGTAGCTGAGACAACAAGCGTCCCCCACCATGCCCAATTCATTTTGAAATATTTTGTAGAGATGAGGATCTTGCTATATTGCCCAGGCTGGTCTTGAACTCCTAGATTCAAGAGATCTGCCTACTTCAGCCTCCCAAAGTGCTAGGATTATAGGTGTGAGCCACTGAGCCCAGCCAGGGCTTTGAACTTGACTGCCTCAGTAGGCTCTTCATCCTAGACTACTGCCCCAGACCACGTACTGCCAGGCTTTCTTGTGGGGAGGTGGGGAGGAAGCCTTCATTCCTGCCTTATTAGGTTCCTTCATCTGGGTCTGGCCCCTTCAACACAGCCCTGGGCCTCTGGTTCAGAGCCAGCCCCTTTGGCTTTTGGGAATGAGTGTAAACAGGCAGGAATGGAGTCCCAGGACATGCGTTGACTTCAAGGTGAAGGGATGCCTCCACCAAATGCTGAAAGGAACGGAGGATTGAGAGAGGCCTTTGTGATGAAGACAAGAGAGAGGAATGGGGGTGGAGGCAAGCCATAGTGATTCCCCCCTGCCGTTGCGGAACTTCTGCGTGACCTTGGAGACCTCACCCCACCTTCAGTCACCTTGTCTGTGAAATGGGCCTGACAGCCCCAGTGCTGTCCACTTCCAAAGCTTGGCAATTAATGAGCACATAGTTACGGAGATGCTTTTCAAGCTGTCAACCGCCATGAGGCACATGTGCTTCATGAAGGGGGTGGGTATTGAGTTGGGAACTTGGGATGCTGCCACCTTTAACCTTATTTGGAACAAGGCAAGGTAAACATAAAAACAGATGGGGTAGATAATGGGCCCCTCTTCTTGCTCTCACTTGCTGTGTGTGCAAGGATTCGTCAGCCCTTGCTGTGCCTTTCTGCTTATCTTCTGTACGGTGAGGCTGTCGTAGGTGCTCAGTGTGTAAATTGCTTTGTGCCTCTCAGCAGCAGGGAAGGAGCCAGGTGGATGTGAGATGAATGGGGTGGTTCCAGCCCTGCATGCTGACACCACTGCAGGAAGTCCCCTATGGAATCACGGCTGGCCACAGTGGTTTCTCCTGACTCTATCACTAGGTTGCGACCTTGGGCAAGTCACTTATCCTCTTTCTGCTACGTCAGTTAAACAGGGATACAACGTCTCCTCTTTCTACCTCAAAAGGTATTTATTTTGAGATGCAAGGTCAATAATGGATGTGAAAATGCTTTGGGGGAAATAAGAAAGCAGGAGGCAAATGTCAGCACTTCTTGTGTCTCCTGCCTGTTACGCTCTTGTTTTCTCTCTTAGCACTTGGCCTCAGTGCTAACCTCAAAGCAGGCACTCGGGAAAGCCCTAATGAATGAGCAGGTGGCTTGTGGAGAGGAACAAGGTCAGTCTGGGGACCTGAGGCTTCTGCCATTGACAAGCTGTGAGATTTGGGGCTAGCCTCTGGCCCTCTGGCCCTCTGCTTCCCCATATGGAAATGAGGGATAGGCCCAGCTCATCTCTAAGGATTCTCCCAGCTCATGTGGTCCTGAAATGGAAACGAATGAAGTGCTACTGCTGTTTCTCACTCATTAAGTCATCTCTCAGATGTCTTTTGCACATCCACACCCAGCCAGGCATCAGAGCCTGATTTGACTTTTGTTTTCACAACTGTCCTGCAGGGTACACAGGCAGTAGTTAGCCATATATCCATACTGACGGCAGAGATCATGGAAGCTCGGAGAGGAGAGATGACCCGCCCAGCGTCACCGTCAGCAAGCCACCTGGCTGGGATTCAAACCCAGACCTGAATCCAAGGCGCATACTTATTCCACCTGCCACGTGGTTTCAGTCTCCCCTTTCTCAGCTTCCTTCCTCCACCCCGTGGGGGATCTGGCTTCCCGAGGCCAGCCAACCCTTTTACACAGTTTGGAGAGGCGGCTGGACTGACTCCCCCCGCCCCCACCAGATGTTTTACCAGGAAAAAAACCTCCCCCTTCTGCCTCCAGCCCCATCTGCTAGAGTTCCAGAGGGGAGGGAGAGCTCCTTTCACTGTTGATGGGACCCCTTGCAGGGCCGCGGAATGAGCTGGGCGAGACTGGGCCACCTGGCTGTATTTCCTAGCCATGACTCCAGCAGCTGGCATGACCTTGGGTGTTTGCCCCTCCCTGTGGTCAAGCTGGCTCTGCTGAGCAAAGACGGTCTCCGGCGGAGGCAGGTGCTGTTGGCTCCGGTGAGGATAATGAGCGCTCCTCATGCACCTTGCCCCCTCGGAGTTACCATCTGCTTGGCAGATGCGCCTCCCAGGCCTCTGGGGCTGCCCCAGTCTCCCTCCCAAGATCGGGGAGACCGGTCCTCATCTCAGAGGCCGTAGTCTCTCCCTAGGGTGCGCGGCTGTTGCTGGAAGGGAAGCCCCCGAGGGCAGAGGGCGGCAGGCCCGGGACGTTCCCAGCAGAGGCAGAGGACGCCGGGAGCCAGGCATCCCGGGCGAGCCCGGCGAGAGGAGGCGCTCCCTGCTCCTGCGGGAGGCGGGGCTGCCCCTTCCCTCTCCCCCTCCTCTTCCCGCTCCCGGAGGCCCCGCGGGAGCAGGAGTCCTGCGCCGTAGGGCGGGGGCGGGGGGAGCGAGGCCTTCCAGGTCGGACTGAGCGGGGGCGGGAGGAGAGTGTGAGGCCCCAGTGGCTGGGCCCTAAGGGTCTGAATTGGGCAGCAAGTGTGGTGGGGAGAAGGACCCCCCAGTTTGGAGCTGGCGGGGGAGGCTGTGTCGGCGGGTGGCCCTGGAGCCCTCCGATCTTGGCCCCGCAGCATCTGTCCCCCAGGGAGGTCAGCATGCGTTTGCCCTTCCCCGCCTGTGCGTCGTGGGTCCACTCCCTCTCTGGCTCCCGGAACCCCCACTCCCCCGAGGTCCCCTCGGGAGGCAGAGCCCGCGGCGGGGCGGGCGCGCAGCAGCTCCTGGCCCAGTAAACACCCGCGGGCGGGACGGCTGGGGCTGGGGGCGGGGGCAGGAAGCTAGCGGCGGCCCGGGCCAGCCGGCGCGGCCCCGTGACGTCGCTCTGCTCGCAGGGATCTCTCCCCGGGGCCCGCGGGTCCCCTCCTCCCGCCTCCTCCCGCCCTCCTCCCCGCGCCTCGCCTCGGCGCCGCGGCCGGCATTTCTCCTCGCAGCTCGCTGCCTCTTCTGTCCCTGCCTCCCTCTCCCCCCTCTGTCTTTCTCCCTTCCTTCCCTCTCCGACCCTCTTCCTCTCCCTCCTGATCCTTTCCCTCCTCCTCTCATCTCTCCCCTGTCTCTCCGTTCTAGATCGTCCCCCCCCCACCTTTTCTTCTTTCTCCTCCTCTCCTTCCTCTCCCCCTCTCCTCTGCCTCCTTCCACCGTCTCCCCTGCCTCCCCGTCTTTCAGTCCCTGTTTTTCTCCCCGTCTCCCTCTCGGTTTCTCTCCCCCTCCCTCCCTCCGGGTTTCCTCCCCTGGTGCCCTCCCTCCTCCCTCCCTCCCCTCCCCCTCCACCCCTCGCAGCCCCGCCGCTCGCAGCTCCCAGTCTGCCTCCCCGAACCGGCGCCTCCGCCCGCACTCGCCGCAGGACCGGCCCGCCCGGCTCCCGGGGTGCGCCCTCCTCGGTCCCGCGCCCTCCGGGCTCGCAGGGACGCCTCCTCCCTCCGGGCTTGCGGCCCCGCCCGGCCCGGCCCCCGCCCAGAGCCCCAGCGCGCCGAGGATGTGAGTCCTGCTCGCCTCTGGCGGAGCAGCAGCCACTCGCGCGCGGAGCCGGAGCGCAGCGCAGCGCAGCCGCGGGCGCTCTCCGGGCCGCTCGCGCGGGTGCCGCGCTCTTGCCCTAGCGGCGTCCCCCGGCCTCTCGCCGGCGCCACCGCCGCAGCAGCCCGCGGGCCGTCCCCGGCCGGCCGCCCCCGGCCCCAGCGCCGCTGACCCTGTCCGCCGCGGGCGGGGACGCGGGCGGAGGAGGCGCCGCGGCGGAGCCCCCGGACGCGACCATGTCGGAGGTGCTGCCCTACGGCGACGAGAAGCTGAGCCCCTACGGCGACGGCGGCGACGTGGGCCAGATCTTCTCCTGCCGCCTGCAGGACACCAACAACTTCTTCGGCGCCGGGCAGAACAAGCGGCCGCCCAAGCTGGGCCAGATCGGCCGGAGCAAGCGGGGTGAGTTCGCGGCCCCCTTCCCTGACACCCGCTTTCTCCCGCGCCACGGCCAGCGCCAGGGTTGCGGAGGTCTCCCACCCGCCGGATCCCGTTCAGACCCGACGGAATCCCCTCCTGCAGAATTGGGGGAACCCGCACTGCGGGTCCGGCTGAAGCGGGTCGCAGGCATGCGTGCCCCTAAGCCCGATCCCTGGCCAGCTCACCCCGGGGGCGTGGCGGCTTCTAGCTGCAGCTGGGGGTCTCCACCGGCGGCAAAGTTTGCTTTTTGATTTGCGCCCCCACCCCCGCCTTTTGCGCAGTGTAGTCGCAGCTGCGCTAGCTCCACAACCCTGGGGGGAGGGGGTCCCAGGGTCCCCCAGGGGACGGCGTGGGGACCTGCGTGAGGAGGATCCCAATTCCTGCGGAGAAGGCGAAGGCGTTCGGGTTGCACGGGCTTTTCATTGTTACTTGGCCTGAGGGGGGTTTGCCAGGCCTGGGCGATCGGAAAAGCCCCAGAGAGGTGGAGAGGGAGAGAGGCTCCGAGAGGAGCTCCAGAGGCTCGGGGACAATGAGGGGGACCGAGGGCTACCGAAAGAGACTGAGACGCAGGGATGGAGGGGAGGGGGTACGCGGGAGACCGAGGGTGGCTGAGACCGAGACAAAGCTCCCGAGAGGGGAGCTGGAGCCGGAGAGACAGAGCCGAGGACACGGGTCTGGGGAAGACGCAGAAGCCGCCAGAACAATAAGGGCGACCGACACCTTAGACAGGGAGACCTAGAGACCTTGATCGGCGGCCTTAGAGCCGAGGGACTTTTGGAGGGACCGAGAAAGGCGAGGCTAGGTCGAGACGGTGAGAGAGGCGGAGGTTACGGCGAGTGTCAGTGGCAGGCAGCGAAGGGGGGCTCTGACCTTTGCCGCAGCGGGGAGCGCGGAGCGGCTGAGTCCGTAGGTCCGCGGCGGTGAGAGGGCGCGCAGGAGTGGGCGCCTACCCAGGCCAGGCCCTAACCCCCACCCGCTGCGCGTCGTGGGAACCGGCTTTGGCGTCCCCTTCTGGCGCCACGCACCTCCGCACCCAGCTTTGCCCACCAGAGCTGCGCTCGGGACTCCCCGAGGGTCCCGAGACCCGAAGACTTTGGCTTCTTCCCCTGCCACAGTTCCAGACCTCTCTGTCTAAATTAGCGCACCCGGTGCGGGAAGGACGCGGCGAGTGCGCACCCTGGCTGCAGCAGGAGCGGCCGGGTTGGCGCCCTCTCTGTTTCCTTTTCTCAGAAAGGAGCTGGGACGCTGACTGGAGGATAGGGGGTGGTGGGGTGGTTCCGAGGAAAGCAGGGTAGGGACCCCCAGCAGGGGAGGAGGAGATTGGAGCTGTTTCACCGCGCAGTGAGCCACAATCTCTCGCCCTCTCCTCTCCCAACCTCCAACTCTGGGCTTAACGGGAAATGTCAGAGATCTCTGGCGAGGCCCAAGCGCGCTCACCTCTTTTTTCCCCCCTTTTTTGCAGTTGTTATTGAAGATGATAGGATTGATGACGTGCTGAAAAATATGACCGACAAGGCACCCCCTGGTGTCTAACTCCCCCAAAGACAATGAGTTAAGGGAGAGAATAAGAACGGCGATAACAGTTATTGGCAAAAAGCATGAAAAGAGAAAGCACTTTGAAATGTATTACTAGCTTGCTACCCACGATGAAATCAACAACCTGTATCTGGTGTCAGGCCGGGAGACAGATGAGGCGTGAGAAGGAGGAGGAGGAGGAGAAGGCTCTGGGCTCCTCTGCAAAAATAAAAATAAAAAAATAAATAAAATTTTAAAAATAAAAAAATCACTATATACACACATATAAAGAAATAAAAAAGAAGTCTCAGTTGCAGCTATTTGTCAAAATTAATATCCATTTCTTTTTCTATACGGTGAATATTGCGCAATTATAGATCTGGATTTTGAACCACTTAATGAAGCGGCAACACCAGGTGTTTTGAGGTGTTGGCATTCTTCGCTGATTTGGCTGTTCCCAATGTTTACATTATTTAATCTTGCAAAATGGTTCTGTGCACTTGGATGTGAAATGCTGTCCAGTTTTATTTTTTTTATGTTGTTATCCTCGGATGTATAAAACATTCAGAAAATGATCTCTGTAGATATTCTGTTTTATTTTGGTCATCTTTAGAAGTTATCAGGAATGTGTTTAAAACAAGAGGAGAACTTTTCTAAGGAATGATACATAGAAAAGATTCTTGTTTTATTTTAAAATGAGTTGTAAAGCTTGTGTTTCTTTGTTGCTGCAAGCTATTTGCCCAAGTTAATGCAAATGGACACATTTTTTAACACACACACACACACACACAAACACACACACACACACACACACACACACACGAAAAACAAAGAAAAAAATGCTTGAGCTTTTTCTAACCTCCCCTTGCAGTCTGTTGTGTGAGCAGCCTGTTTATTTCTCTAATATTATGTCAGTTTATTCTCTTTAATGGACTGTAAAAAAATGTAATCACAAGAGTGCCAAATATCTTGAAATGCCAAAAGGCATTTTAGTTTCTTTTCTCTGTGCTCTGAGTCCACGTACAGGAATGCTTGGAGTGTCTTTTCTGTTATTTATAGGGATTCTCTTAAGGCACACCAGCTGCCTGTTTTGCATGGTATTTGCAAAAATGCCTCTTGCGTGAGGAAATCTTTTACCATTTTTTGTTTGCAACTTTGGACCTCAAGAGGTTTCCCTTCCCTTCCCCGTTCCTTCTTTTCTTAATTCAATATTCTGTATGTTGCACCTTGAACCAGCACACAGGGCTATTTCTCCAATGTACAATAAAAGAATTGTTCCTGTGTCTCACTCCTCTCTTTTCTCTGCTTTGGCTGGGGGGTGGGATAGGGGGACATGACTCGCTGTTTGTCAGCTGGCTGCAGACAGGAAGAAGGGATGGTGGCTTTGGTCTGTGAGGCAAAATGGCAGTGTGGGGGGCTCCTATGGGTGGGCTCAGATGGGAGGAAAAAGGGGCTGGACTGGCAAGGCCATTCCCTAAGGTGAATTTATTCCATTTTGGATTTGCAGGCTGAGCTCTCACTGCAACCCTGAGGTTACTGCCATCTCCGGTGGGATGAGGAGAGAAAGAAGGATACTGTATAGGGAAGAAGGCAGTCTTGTTAGAACGACTTTGCAGGCTGGCAGAGGGTTGAATGCAAGTCCCAGCTCCCTGACTTCCTAGGTCTTTGGACTTGAGCAAGTGCCTGAACTTCTCTAAGCCTCAGTTTCCTAATCTGTAAAGTGGGTATAACTCAGCCCCTGCCTCATAGGGTTCCTAGGAGGATGAACACAACACCAGCACGTGGAAGCACTCAGTATCAGGCCACTCTTCGCACATTTCACATTTCATCCTTCGCTCCCCTGTCCTCCGAGGCAGAGCTGAAGATGAGTTGCGCTCTCTCTGCATCTTCACCTTCCGGGGCTCACAGGTGGAGGGATGTGCTGCTCCTGCATGGCCTGAGATGGCCTGATGAGGTGCGTGGCCTCAGAGGTCTCAGGCACCTGCCCTTACCAGCCCTCCTCTAATCGTCACTTGGAAAGGCTTGACAGGAAAACAAATCTTAGCTCTTTCTTAGGCTCGAGCAGTCAAAGGTGGTGGGGAGCAGGCCCCTGGGGGAGGAGGGTTTGGGAGGAGGATTTTGGTTGAAGAAAGCCTGGGAGAGGCTTTTTTCTCCTGGGCTATTACGCACCCAGAAGTGCTGGGAGCTTTTAATGTGTTTGTGGTAAAGTTGTCAGCCAGGCGTCACAACACAGCTCACAGTGACAGGATCCTAAGTGTGACTCAGACATCAGGTAAGAGGCTAGGGGAGGGGGGTGGGCAGGAGAAGAGGGGCTCCAGAAGGCCCACAGGGGGTGATGTC